ATGGACTTCTGTTGCGAGTGGCACCGACACGACGTTTACAAGTGACCACCGGTATAAGGTAATAAACATCGGTAAAAACGGTGAGAACTGACGTCGAATATTTCTGATGGCCTATTGTGAGAAATCTCGAGTTTTTATTTTTTCCCAGGACGAAGGTTGGTGATACGATTTTAATATCTTCGATGCATATTACTTGCATACATATTATTAGTAGGTACCTATATCTATAATAGTTGTGAACCGAGGCACTCTTCATTACGTTTTCACGGCTCTATTGTCTGCCGACTGCCCACGAAAGACTACCGAATTACATATTATTATAATATTAATGTTGTAACTTCGACGGTGATTAATACATTTTGCGGAAAGGAAAAACGTATGATGCCCGGGTGAAACGATTCGAGAATTCGATGAATTTCTTTGTCGGAACTATCTGCACGTCTCTCAAACCACTTACACCATATGAAAACTACAAATCTAAAATAAGTGTTCTTATTATCTACAACTATATACGACATACGCATTTAATTTAATTTTATGTATGCCCATGTATAGGTTAAATATATTTTTCTATATTCTATATACGTAAATTGTGTATATTGTATCTTCCACTCAAGTAGTAATATTATTTTTGTTAGATAACTAATCGTCCACGGTATGGAAAACAGATTAATTTATATTATGATGTGTTAACATTTTCCTGTACACTGACAATGGGTGAAAGACGATTAGCGAGACGTCGTGCGTTGGATATTGCTCGCCTTGCGGATTTCATTATATACTATTATTATAAACGCACTTGATTCATGAAAACGATTATTATTCACCGTAGATCCATACCACTGGGTAGAAGGGTTCTCTTTTCTCGTCACAATAGAGACGTTCCGTAACGGCGTCATAAACGCCCGTGTGTGCGTAGGGCATTATTATAATAATTCATGGTTCGTAATAATTAAATAGCCTTTGACGAAAAACGTGGCCACAGGTAATTCAATATATTATTATGTGTACTATAGAGTGAACGGAGCAGCCGCAAGAGCCAATAATATCGGCGGCGGCATGCATGGCCATTGTGCGCTACCTGTATTATAGTATATATATACCTGTCTACCTGTTGAAAGAAACCCCAAACAAACTCCATTATAATATACATGTGCAAACGGGATGATGGAGGGGGACATCTGCCAGCTGACACTCGAGTTTCTGACCCTAGTGGGTCCTAGTTTCACTATATATACCTATACGCCACCACCGATGTCTGGACAGAATTACCACCGTACACTGACCGTGTTATTATTTCTTTTGTAACCACCATCAAAATCAAAATAATATTTATAAAACATATTATTATTATTATACGGAGAGAATAGGTCAGTATTTTTTTTTTCTTTTTTTTTTATAAATAACGTATCTTTAGTAAAAAGGCTACACACGCGGTGCTGCTACGAAATAAAAGAAAAAATCGAATAGAAAAGAGCCGCTGTCAGTGCCTCCGAAAATCAATTACTCCAGTCGAGTTTTTATTATTATTATTATTCATTGAAGTGACAAAATTAATAACTATTATGGCACGAAAAAATCTCAAAGACGTTACATTACGCGCGTGGTGTGTACCATTTATCACGCGTTCGGATTGTATATAACGAGTACACAAGACGAAAGGGCACTCGTAAGCAGACCTTTTATAATAATGTATATAATATAATATAATGATATTATTATGTCCCATCATGGACGTTATAGTTTCGTGTTATCCTTAACCTCCATCATTAATATCCAAGACGGATGCGCAATAGGCCTGGGTATAGGGATAATCGGAACTTGGCGGCCGATGCGCAAGCCTCGTCTTCCCCGGTGGTCCGTTGTAAAACTCTTCGTCGATCATTTAATATCATTACTGTCGGCGCAAATCCCCACACGAGGTCCATTATAATTATACTACATATTGTATATATATATATATATATATACATAAATATAGTCAAGTTATACGTTATATATTATAAATTATTAATGTATTTTACATTATATTATAATCACAATGCAATATTCTGTAATAGCAGATGCCAGTATACTATAATATACCTAGTAAGTACATTACGTTCGACCCGGGATGACATTTCATTCGCCGTTAAAGTATATTATACTATTATATTTTTATGCTTTGACCCAGCGTGTGTACTGACAACACGTCACGAAGTGGATCGAAGTTATTTCGGAAATATATTTTGTCGATACAGATCATTAGAGGCGTGCGTATAGAGCCGTCGTATATATTATTCATCGTTGTTTCAACTCAAGGTTAACCTTATTTTTTTCCGAACTACATAATATTATATTATTATATACGTGTCCGGCCGGTAGTTATATTATTATATATTAATTTTAATGACGCTTGTTGAGCCCCTCATATACGCGCCGAAATACACGTACCGACATTTATTTCGAGAAGACGCAAGACGTTGAAACAATAAAACGTGTATAATATAACGACCACCGTGTTAAGAAGAGACATTAATCATAGAATTAATCCGTCGCGCGGGTTGTGTTATACATTAGGGTATATATAATATTATAAAAAAAAAATTAACGCGTACGTATATAACTATAATATTATTATAATAGACACTCGTCGGACACGTTCGTTATCGCGCGGCGCATTATCGACGGTACTGGTCGTCGCGGGTCGTCATTCGATTTCAGAGGGATGATGACTTTCAACCCTCCCACCACAATATTTGTCAAGTGTTCATGCCCCGGATGATTAAAAAAACATCCGACGGCTTTCGAGACGATTTTAAACGGCTCAACACGTGTTGATTATTGCTGGTGTCGTTTACTACACCGGGCGATGGTGTGTGCGTATTATTATGTAGATAATTTATTCCTGATCGTTTTTGTAGTTCGGACGAAATAATAGGACGGCGTTTCGGGTTTTGGTGCAGTTATAATAGCTCGATTTGCATATAATATATAATATACACCTACCAGCCACAGTACCGCCAGTTGTCTACTATATACTAAATACATATTTTACTACGAATATAATGTAGGTATACGTGGTGGATATTATTACCGGCGTTTTGTATACGGACGTTTGTCGGCGGTAATATTGTGTACATGAAATAAAATTGCCCACAGGGAAACTGCAGTAATAAAATTTACATTTCGTCCGTAAACATAAAAGAATCCTAAGGGCGGACGGGAAGAATTTCGACCGCACGTGTCATCGACGGAACGTAGTTTTCGGATATTTTCGGACATGCACCGACTCTAAATAACATATTTTCTCCTGCAGCTCATTAAAACAAATTAAAAAAAAAAATTTATCCCGCATAATGGTTATAACAGTTTTTTAAATCTATAGTTGATTACGGAAATAATTATTACTTGTATATTATCATAATATACAACCATCGTGCGTCTATACGATAAAAATTATGTTATATATTATGTTAATATATTTGTCTCGTTGATGCCGCAGCTATACTATACCTACTCCGTTATTAAGTCTGTCCGGAAAAAAAATGTCGAGTCTGACATCAGTGACTTGATTAACCTATTATGTCCACGTAAACTCTATATAATATTATCCAAACACCATCTAAAGTAACTAACGTATATCTGAAATACACTTGAAATGTGTGTATAATATATAATTATAAGAGTTGACATGTCGATTTATTTACTCCGGACGGTTATATAATATAATGTACGTTTATATATTATTATTAGGTATGTAGAAGGTCGTATCGTATGAGGAACAAATCCGGTTGACTTATGGGGAAGGAAAATATATTATGTAAGCCTATCACAGTTCCACCCGAATTGTCCATGAAGTCGATCTTGGCAGAACAATTACCATTTTAAATGTGTATTATAAACAATACTATTATAGTATGACTTATTATCTATATAGCAATTATTAGAAGTAGTGTCAAGTTCAAAAACTGTGGTGAAATGTAAATCGTAAAACTTTTTCAAATAGAATATGAACAATACGACAGTTGGTCGGTGAAGTCAAAAGAAATTGTATTCGTTGCAAATAATATATTTACTTTTCTGACGATTCTTATAAAACCAAATACATTACTGATTAAAAAATCTATTTATTGCTCTGTAATCTTTCACACGCATATATTCTATACTGATAGTGATAGATGAATATCTATAATAGCACGAAATATTCACAAGACACGGACTTTTCCAACATTTCCGATAAGTCCCGAAGACGCAACATTCTGCAACTTAAAGTTCTCAATTGCGAGTAATATATACTCCCGTTTTTTCCATGGTCATCCACCATGTACAACAACGTCTATCAGAATGTTTTTAGAAAGTATTAATAGTAGCTATTTATTCGTGGGGATGATTTCGATCATATATATATTATGAATATATGACATATTTACATGTATATAATAATGTCTATGATTAAACGGCGACTACTGTATATTGAGTTATTATTATTTTTCAATATTTGTATGTATAAATCATGCACATTGGAGGTTTTTAATTCATTTACAGCTAGGCTACGAGTACTAAACATTGAACACATTTACAAAACAATATTTGGTACCTAAATACAAAAGTACAAACATATGTACGAATACATTGCAATTTGACTTATTTCGCTCCATTGTACATAAATGTGTACACTCATGCTTTCCATAATTAAGCTGTATAGGATACTGATTATGTTGCCTTTCAGAACAGATTTTTTCGGTTAGTGACGCGATTTTTTAACTTTTAAATTTTTTATAAAATATAAATTCACCACAACGCGGTATATAAGTATATTATGTAATATGTACTTACAAAACGTTTTAGCCGTTTTAGGGCAAACCCTATTCAATTATTATGGCCTCGTGTTATAATGTTCTGTGTACATACAATAAAAATTGTACTCTTGGCATTCAACAGAATATTGTCCGACTACAATCAATAACATTGTCATCATATACATAATAATAATGTGTTTTGTTTTCGTTGTTTTCCAGCGGACTGACGTCGGATTCGTCGGAACACTCGGTGCGACCCGTCCGATTGGACCGGTGCTGGGCGGGCACGGTGCGCTGGTCGTACCCGCGAGGCGCGCTAAGGGTGGTGTTCCGGTTGACGGGCACCAGTGGCGGCCGCGAGTTCCGCGTCTGCCTCAAACCGGACAGGCTGGACGGCGTGCGTGTGCTGTTGGACAGCGCACCCCGTCGCCTGATCGCCGTATACGATTACCGCAAGGCCGGCGAGCCGCTCCGGTCGAGGTGCTTCAAGAGCGTCGGCGGCACGGCCGCGTTCTACGTGGAGGCGGACAAGACTGGCGACCGGTCCGGTCCCGTCCGGTTCCGTTATGATCTCGAACCGCTCGCCGAGCCAGCTCCGCAACTTTTCGTAGCCGACAACCTCGACGACGGTAAGTGCCGACGATTAACCATCGTTACCTGTATACGTACTATTATATATTATTATTACCCACCCGCTACCACCTGTATAGAATATGAATAAACTAGAATTGGGTGGCAAATTCATAAAATGTACATTGTTATGGGCTTCCGATCTATTTTCTGAATTACTGACGGCCCACAGTGGCAGGTTCAGTCAGAGACTCGCTCGGAGCCGGGAAGAAAGACTCCCAAAAATATTTGTTTTTGATAATCTGCAATAATTGATAATTAGTTACTTCAAAATAATTGATTGTTCAAACCATGAGATTTTGAACAATTATTAATATAATAATTTATTCTTCACGAATCATATAATAATAATATATACACGGGTAAGCTGAAAGAATGAGAATTAATACTCTTTCAAACAATTTTATCCATTCAAGTCTCACCGGTGAGCTGATAAACTTGAACCTATATCTATTGGGAACCGGCTCCGATTTTCAAGGTCAATTGAGACCTAACCACAGAGGTGTATCAATTTTGACTATTGGACCCAAATTGTGTTCAACAAGTAGTTGAATATTTCAAGATTCAATTCGATTCATACTGTCATAATATTCATAATATACTAAATTATTATTGAACGTAAGTCGTACAAACTTATTACTTAAAAAATAATAAATAACGTTTGTAAATAAATTAAATTCGGACTCTGTTGAAGAGGGTGTCAGTTACAAGCACAGTGGCTACAGCTCAAAAGTATCTCTGAATATTATTATTTATTCGTTTGCATCTTATTTCCCTGTCGTCATTATGCGTTACTTCGCAATACTATAATAATACCTATATCGGTACAAACAAGACTGTTCGAATTATATTTTAAGTATACGATATTTATTTGGTTCGGCACCAATAAATCAAATAATCGAGATGATTTAATTTGTTTTATTACGGTCGAATGTATATTGTTTCGACAAAATCGGACGTACTGCAAACATTTAGACAGTCCGTGACAATAATATTTGTCGATTAGTATTTAATATTTACCGTTGGTCGATTAAAATAATAGACAGTGCGTATCGAAGTATAGTTTTTTTAATATTTAATGTCGATTGTGATATTGATGACACTGCAGTTCGCATAGAACAATTAATGCATAATTCAATAATAAATAATATTATATTAGGTACATAATCGACTAAACAATCATACAAATATATTATATTCACACTCATTGGAAAAAAGCGCATACCTATAGCCATGGCCCATCGCGCCCTCGGTGTAATCGTGCAGTAAAGAACTACACATCTTTAAAAAAAAATTATTCTATGATCAATACCGATGCACTAATTTTTTGAAAATATCATTCTGTATTTCTGTGTAACAAATAGTAACTATACCTTTGATAATATTAGCAAAAATTTCAAATTCTTAGTTATACCTAACATTTTTTGAATTACATAAAAATAACTAAAAATTGTTATTTATCTTTTAAACATGGTACAATTTCGTAAAAAGTCAACTTCATAAATGTCTACAATAAAACTGTGCATATATATTTTCAATATGTTTTGAGAACAACTTATGAGAAATCATAACAATAGATTTAGAGATCTTTTTGGCCAAATTTTTTCGAGAATTTCAAATGCATCTATAAAATTAGAATACAAATATTTTATGAAAATTTAAAGTGTCTGACGGTTAATATACAGTTTTTAATAACAAAAAATACCGAAATCGATTTTGTGAAAAACTTAAAAATTTATGTGCGTAAATATTTCAATTTTTTATTGATTTTCCCTATTATTTCAAAAGTAAGGGGAATTTTTTGCTTTTGACCCCTTCAAATAAATCCAATTTCCCACCAGATATCACAATTTAATTTGAAGATTGAATAATATGTATTACTCCGTGTTGATGGCAGACAAAAAAAAACTCAGTAATATTGTAAAACCAATAATACACTCGTCGTTCCGCTCAGAATATAAAATATAATTCAAAAGCTTAAATCATTAAAACATTTGTTGTGTAATATTTAATTGGGCTGCCCACGAACTACAAAAATACTTTGGCCGACAATGTTATTTTAGTATTTGAAAATAAATAATATATTTTGTTGTTGGCTATATATAATAGCGCATTGGTATGAAAAAATAAATTGGAATCGTTTAACAAAACTCGTTTTTTAGTCCACAAAACTGCAGAACCCAATCGCAGCCGTGTAAAACATATTTTATAATCGATCAAATTACATTTCGTCCGACGTCCATTCTTTATATATTATTATCTGCTTGAAATGACTATCGAAGAAATAAACTATTAACACCATTAACATTCAAATGTTCTTTTCACAAACATATGTAGTTTTTAATCTGTTGGGGCGTGACGAGCATGGCGTTAAAACCGTCTTATACCTAGGCGGTTTCCGACGGCGTACACGATCAGCTGTCCGTTACTATAAATTAATAATAACCAACAAATATGTTATATTTGTTTTCCCAAGTACGCGTTATTTAGCCTTACGGTGTTCTACGTAGGTGTTGTTGGAATAGCAGGTAATTTATAATAATATAATATAATATTGAAATGTAAATAAACAGGCGAACGCACACATGGCGCGTTTTATATACCTACAGGAATAAGCAATTGCGCAGTACCTACGTTCATGAAATTATTATAATTTTTTTTTATATAATAATAATAATAATAATAATATAAATATCGATTTATTGATGGAATTACAATCGATAAGCACAATTGCTATCGCAAGAAAATTAGATTTAAAAAAAAAATGACAAGAAACAATGAAGTTTAATGAAAACGACTCGTCTCGTATAGGTATGATAATAGTCATTATTATGCATAAATTGTCTTAATGGAATATTTTTTAACCGGTGCCATTCGAACGGACGTTTTGCGATATACAAATTGTTGGGGACGACCCGTTTCATGATAACATAAATAATTAAGCATCGTATATAATATTATAATATTATGATGTACGTGATCGCGTCCATATATTATTTAGTTTTTAACACTCGTCTGTCCATCAACTAACCGAGATTACAAGATATAGATAATAATATACAGTTTTTTTTTGTTCGTACCTACATGTAATAGGTATTATTTTTTATGCCGTACATCGATCACGCTTGTCTTAAGCCGTCCGAGTTTGTTAATATAAAATATTATAATATGAAATAACAATGACACGCGGCGTCTCGCCGATATTGCCGTACATGTAAAGGTATGAATTAAATCGGGCAGGTGTCCCAGGTACATTGTTCGTTGAAATGATCATTGACCTTAATTTTTTTTACTTCATTACAGAAACAATAGAAAATCAGCTTAACAATACGCATTTGTCTAAGATTTCCGACCATCTCGAGTATAGACATTGGGTTTTCACTACAAGTGAATATTATACACTAAAGGACCGTAATTAATGGAACGAGTGTAAAATAATATTGCTTTATGCCTACAACCACATATATTACTATATAATATTATAGTCAGTACAGACTACAGGGAAGATAATGATTTTTCACCAAAGCATTATGCTTTTGACAACTTTAGGAGTGTTTACGCATTGTTACGCAATCAAAATGATATTTTACTTCGTCCAACAACAACTATTATGGAGTGCATAACCTGCATAATTTAAGTATTATGAAAAAAGCACGCGTCGCTATATACATGCATATGCATATAAATCGTACAGACTATAAAAGTATATAAAAACAAGACATTTTCTAGATAATTTTAATTTTTTTTAACTGCGTGTACTTAAAAAAGTTGATTTTGACATGTGTATAGTATATTCTCGATATTATCATTTTTTCTTCTTCTGGGATCATATGTTAAATGCGGATTTAACCTACGTTCGGCCAGTGAACGGTTACTATCAAAGTCCTCGTTGGAAGTCACAAAAATAGACCGGCCATAAATTTACTCGAGAAACCTCACGATAAAAAAAAACCACATAGGTATACGCGCTGTTGAAAAATACCGGTTTCGCCTACATTAACAAAGTACACACTGTATACACTTTTATTTATGTTGTATATATAATACTGTATTATGTATGATTTTTTTCTTTTATTACGTGGTTATAATATTTATTTATTATCACCATAAACAATGGGAGATGGCCGTCGAAGAAAACACGCTAATGGTGATTTTTATATTCAAAAGTTACAGGCCGTTTAACATAAATTGCCCTCTATTGGTTGTATATATATATAACATTATATGCATTTGGAGCTCCTTAACCAGACACAACACTAGACTATAATTATTATAACTTTATAACACTAGACCTAACGCTATATAGACGGTTTATTGGATTTTAATACCACGATAGAGTCAAGAGTACATAAGTTGTAAATAATATGATAATTTGACGCGTTGAGATGCATTCGGTATCTCGACTACCTACTATGTATAATAAAATAATACGATATAGACTAATCTAAAAGAAAATTACGCCTATCCAGCCATGGAACGTCTTATGATATTATATGTCAATTTAAGTAGAAAAAAAACATAGACATTACACACAGCAGTCGAACATTTGGCTTTATTTTTTAGTTTATATAATAGTGAAAAAGCTTTTTTTTTTACAATCACATCTTTAATACGATTTTAATTATATATATTTTTTTTCTATTTTCAGAATGCCGGCCGTGTACCGTAGAAGAAATGACACAAGCTTACTGCACGAGTAGTTTAGGTGAGTTTCGTTCATTTGTTGTAGGTACTTACATTATTTTATATTTTATACTCAATTCTTATGAGACTGTTTTATGAATATTCACGGTCGGGTGAGCGTCTCGAAAATCAATGACCACATTAAAAAAAAATCGTCCCCGCTATAATATGGATAATCGATTTGATTATCGCGTATACTGCAATTCGGGACATTTAATACAATCAATTTAAATATATTTAACGAGATATAATAAAATCTAAATTATTATAAACATAATATATGCGTACAGTGAAATAATTTATATTTTAATTATCCCTTTTCTAATCACTACCCACTTGATTGGACCATTGTTATCTTAAAATTATATAGGTACTCTGGCTCTATACTTATTTACAGAAATGAGGAGAGTTGTTTTAATTATTATCGAACAACGCGATATACGATACGTGTTAGTGTGTTACCGGTATCTGCCGATAAACAATACGTGGATGGTGAAAAGCGAGTGTGGGAAACGTACAAAATTATATTATTAATGTATATATGCGTAGGTATTATAATTATAATAATAATATATAAGTATATTTTTAATATGGCATTTAATACAATAGTTCGATGATGACTATGTACTTCTTGGGTTTCTATTTAATTTAATTATTCCATGCATCGTTCTTATAATACGTATAGAATAGGACATAATTTTGTTTTAATTATACGTGCGATATATTGGTATATACCATGTACCTATATAATGTACTACGAGAAATCGATGGATTGTTATACCTATATATTGTGTGAGATCGTTTTACGACGTCAGCACAATGTATGTTGTTTTCTATTATCCACATTATATTGTAGTTGACTTGTTTGATAATCTGCAGAGGCTCATAATCCGAATTTGGATATATGGGAGCAGTCGCTTGTATTTTTCCAGTCCTATATGCCCGTATATACCTATAAGATATTATGATAGCTATTATAGGTATATGTACCTATTCTGAAAAAGTTATCTGGCGAGCCAGTAGAAATTAACGATTAAAATAGTGTACTGTCGGAGATGAATTTTACTCGAAAGGTCGGACATGAGAAGAATACAGACGAGACTCACACTTTGGGTATAGCTAACTCTATCAGTCCACTGACCGATTCTAGTCAGGGCATCCCCCACCAATTTCCCTGTGTTAACTTGATCCCGTGGATCTCGACGCACCAATCGAATCATTCGTGATGCGCAAAAAGTGATTATTCTCTCGTGTAATAGACTATAGTGTAATGTGGCACTCGTCTAACTTCTCTCGATTTTTTTACTCGAAAACCCCTATCAAGTTGCAACCACTGTACATCCTATTAAATGCGCTTTTGGCCGTAACCGTGGATACAAATTTAATACGTACCTACCATGCCCCACAAATACGATGAGAATAATCGAAATTATTCGTATCAATAATAATTTTTTTTTTCTTTTGCAGTGGTCCAAGGCACCATAGTGGGCGTGTCTTACGACGGCGACGTGTCGCGCGTGCGCGTGATGCCCACCAAGGCGCACCGTCTGCCTCCCGAAGAGGACGACCTGCAGGTGCAAGTGTCACCGCCGCAACAGCAGCAAGAGGACGAAAGCGGACGACCGAGGCTCGACGAACGGCGGCCGATGACCATAACGTTCGGCCGGGGCTGCAGGCCTGCCGCCGGGCCCGGCGAGTTCGTGTTCATGGCCCGCACCAAGTTCGACGAGTTGGCCCTGCGGTGCGCGCCCAGGCTGGAGGAATGGAGGCAAGCCGTCAAGGCAGACAAAGCTCCAGGTTGCATTCTGGCCGGTTGACCTTCACATCATAATATATATATTATACGTTCATATTCATATAATGTATAAATATATATTTCTAGGTTAAGATAGGTACCGTGCGGACGTGATATTATATAATATTATGCTTTGCGCATTAAACGTATAGTACCTAAGTAGGAACTGTTATATATTACATACTATACAGGGTTACCAAAACCGTTGTTGAATTACGTTGTTTAAAAACTATTTTTTTTTTCTTCAAAAGTCATGTTATAATAATATTTATAGAATAAGTCGTCGTGTAAAAATAGCCATTTTAGCTTTATATATAGCCATACAAAGGTAATGTATATACATTATACTCTCAGTAGACGCTTAAACAAAGATTGCTAACTGCAACGGCTATGTATATATAAATGATAATCATTCCGCAAACGAAAAGTCGTATATATGCTCGTGGATATCATTATAATATAATCTTGTAATTAATGCTATAAAAGTTCGCGATTGGTCGGGTGTAGTTGGCAAAAATTGGGTTAGGCCGAAAGGGAGGAGAGTAGGAGAAAGTTGGCAAAGCTCGTGTACATAATACATTATTATAGTTTCCTTATTAACGTAGAAAAAGGGTTCTGTGGCTGTGATCTAAAACTTTTTACGTAAATATTAAAAACAAATTTAAGAACAATTTTAATAAAACACAATGGACGTGCGTACCTATGTAGGTACTCTTAATTATAATATATGTGAAAGCTCGACGTCACGTCTTCTGTATTCGTGTGTGCTATAATAGACAGGTGGTCTACGTATAATCGTTTATTTCTGACTGGTAGGTAAATAATTTAGCTCTTGCACTACTATTCTTCAAAATTATTACATAATATATAATATACGACAATATACCAAAACATTAAACTGTTGCCAATTTAAAGACTTTAACGCACGCCAGTCCAAAAGGTTCTTTTGACTCCCTCTCTTGTTACGTTTATGTAATGCTATAATGTACGTACGGTATATATGAATTTTATATCGTTGATATGTGAATCTATGTGCCAAACCTTAAATAATACAAGTAATATCATTATTGGTTCGTAGTTGTATTATATTATATTATAATGATATTATATCAAATGGTTTATTCGATTTTATTATACTTTACTTTATTTATATATATACGCATTAAGAACAATACCTATATATACTATAATTCTATTATTTCTAACGAGCTTCATATTATGCATTTCGTAGTGCAATGTTAAAATATTAATATTAAGATAATGTGTTTGTTAGGATTATTATTTTAATCACTTTGTTATGTTTTTAATAATTGTAAAATCTCATATTTTGTGTAAATTATTTTTGTTTGCGTATGAATATATTGTAACTATCATTATACGATATAATATTATGATCTCAACTTTTTAAAACAATATTAAATAGCGAACAAAAATTGTAATTAATTTGACTAATATTTAAAATATATTTGTGTTATCGGTTAAAATGGACATTTTTATTTTTTAACGAATTGCTAATTTCCCAACCCGTACCGTATATATAATATTCTATAGAATATATAGATACCTATAACATAATCTATATAATATAATATTACCACTGCAGTTTTCCTCTCGATTGCAGGTACAGCAAAATGCATTTATAAGGTAAAAAGAAAAAAAAACTAATAATATAAACGTATGGTATAATATTATATAGTTGGTCGCATTATGTGCGGGCAGTCGTGCCGGACAATGGGCAGTCGAGAGCGAAAAGGAGCGTATTATAGGAGATGGACGAAAAAAAATAAAAATAAAGGTACGAATTGAAAACCGGCCATAAATCAGAGGAGCCTCTGTGCAAGATGCCCCCCGGAGGACGAGGACGACGACGACGAGGTATGCCGGGCTCATTAAGGTCCGATTTTATTTAGAACACGCGCCGCGGCGATCTCTCGCGCGCGCTCACGGGACGTCCTCTAATTAGCGGCGGCGCGCGCTCGTTTCGACATTCCCCGCGCTCGCGACGAACTCGTTTGTCTGCCGCCGCCGCCGCCACCGCCGCCGTCATCGTCGTCGTCTCCGTCGCCACTGCCGTCGACCAACCCGCCAAAAGACGCCGCGTCATCGGATTTACCCTGTGCGGCGGTGTTGCCCCTCCCCCGCGACCGCCGCCCACCCGACAAGCGACTGTATATATATATATATATATATATATATAATACTCGCCGGGCGAGCGTATTTCATTTTTTTTTTTAAATTTGTTTCCTCACTATTATATTCAGTTCCCCGCCCTCCACCGATCTCGAGTCGATACGATCATCTCGTCGGTCAGGTCGCGATTTCCATCTCGTCGCGGTCGAAAAACTGGATTTTCTCGTCGATTTCGCGTTATTTCTTTTCCACCACTCTATACGGCACAACGACGGCGGTTCATGTATACTATAATATACTTTTATAGTAATAATATTGTTATCATTATTATTATAACGAGTTACGCCTACGATTATATCCACCGCGTGTATAAATATATATCGGACCGCTAGAGCTGCGATAGTAATAGTATGTATAAAGGCGATCGTGAAAATAATATAACCGATTGTTGTAGCAGGGATGTGCTTTTTAATTATTATTGTTGCTCATCAAGTATTGTTTGATATTTCAATTAAATCTCCGAAAAGAAAAAATTGCAGTATTTCGAATTTTCAAAATCGAAACCGTATGCATGCCATGGTGTTAATACAACAATATGCTAGGCATACTGTAGAATTTTACTGTTTTCGGCGGAACTGCATCACGCAGACCGATATTTGTGACGACAGCCAGTCCCAGAAACGCCGGGTCTGCAGACAAACTACGATTCAATCATAACATAGTGTAACTTCACTAACTTCTAAGTTATAAAAAAGTATTGTACGTACATGTAATTAATATCTGGCCACGACGGCGCATGACAGTGAGGGGGGACAATAGGTGGGAGAAGAAGATTTTCCCCGAGAACTTTTTTTTAGCATGATTCACATTATTTATTTTGCTTTGGAATTTAAAACGGTTTTAAAGTTAGGTATTTATAATAATCACCCATCCCACCTGAAAATGTTTTTTCAACCCTGCCGGGCCGGGTTAGGTTAGGGTATAATATGTGGAGTTCAGATAAGTATACCTATATTATGGAAAACTGTCGTCTGCGTGGAAGAATAATATTATGTAGGTAGGTATATCACTCTACTGCTGTTGCTGCACCCACAACGTTTCATGTGGTTTTTATTTCCAATTTTTTTTTCTCAGTTTCTACCGTTTCCGCGACGGCACATCGCCGTCATATACACGCGAAACCTACATACAATTTCGTATAATAATATTACATATCATACTGATGACCCAATCCGGTGGTCAACCTCTATCTGATATATAATAGTATATGTATATATGTGGTACAGCCTGCAAATAGCCATTTACGTACGTAGGTACGCTGTATAATTTTCCGTATACGCCGATGTGAACATTTTTCGTGTGGGTTTATGCATGGGATTGTTATTTATCATTATATATTATACACACGCCGTTATAATAATATCCCGCAACGCACATTAACCGCGACATCATTTTATGTACAATTATTATTATACCACTTTGGCAATAATTATTAACATTATCCAAAGCATGTGTGTACCTGCCACGATGGTAATAAATAAATCTAATAGCTCATAGTGTATTATACTTTACTGCAGTGTTATGCATATGGAACAAAAGAGATTCAAGTCTGACGAATATTGTTTATTTTTTCGCTTCTCTGCGTGTATATTAATATTATATTATAATATACGAACGGGTTAATATATTCATAAATATTATATTATGGGTATGGGTACCTATAATGTACACGACAGCAGCTGTTCACGGTGGATGGATATCGTTCGTGTTTAATGAAATCTATTACATTTTTCACTTTTTTTTCTTTTTCGTAAGTGTAAATAATAATTTGAAATCCTATACGATGTTGTGAAAAAAAAGGTTTACTAGCACAAAAAAGACAACGGGGTGGCCATCGTAGGAATACTAAGGCTATTATTTATACCTATCTGGTATATTATATATCTTTATAGTTGTCGCTATTTAAATTTTTAACAGATAACAACAAGATAGGTATATTTAATGTATAATATTATGTTCTATGAAACTATATCTATTAAATAACTAGCTGATCCTGAGCATTGCCCATTAAAAATGCCAACTCCATATGAATCAGTATTAAAAAAATAATAAATCAGTATTACGAAACACACCAAAAACATACGAAATGTCGCTAAGCAATATAAATATATAATTATATTATATTATACACCAACAGCAATAACAAACATTTTAAACCAATAGAAACCAATAATAATTATTATTATTATAATACCTTTAAAACCCATGGCAACCATTTGTAAACAAAAATTTCCATCGGAAATCTCAAAATCCCTGTTTGAGCAACTCCCTGGGTAGGTCCTCTTCCTTTTTAAGTTAGCCTATCTTCTGCCCAGAGGTCAAATGTATCTCTGTACCAAATTTCATCAACATCGGTCCAGCCGTTTAGGAATGCATAAAGGACAGACAGACAGACAAACATTAATTTATATATATATATAGATAGATTAGGTATTGTACCTACATGTTCGACGGATGGAAATATACAATTTTTTTGTATTGATCTATTTAATACAATTTTACTGTAAGCGTGGGGCCTGCACATGCTTCACATATAGGAAGTTCTTATTTTTCCACTAGAAATCTGCGGTTAAGTCTTGTGTGCCCGTGATTCTCAATTGATCGATTCTTCATTTCCTTTATGATTTGGGTTTTCCATCTGAATGTTGATTTATTAATTGGATTCAGTTTGGGGTTCTCATTATTCCAGAATTTATGCCATTATTATGTGTTATATTGTGCGTTTTTATAAAGATTTTGAAATAAAATAAATTCTTGTTTTGTGAAAATAACTTCAATATCAATAACCATGGCGGACGTTGGCGGTATTGTTGTGCGTCGTGTTTACAGTCA